AAATATTATGCTGAATCGATTGTATGCATGTAGAGTGCGATGTAATTGAAAACAATTATAACATGCTTGATTCTCGTTTTCTTAATGTAGTCGTTACTCTAAACTGAGGGATGCAAACTTAGGACATTGAACCTCCTTATGGTGGGCTCTTTACATGGTGGATTGAATGCCTGTCCGTATCGGTCGAGAAGCTCTCATTCTAGACCTCATCTCCACGCTCATGCATGACATTAAACCATGCAAAATTATTTTGGTTCCATTTCTTACGACTTGCTAGTTTTGCCCTCATTAATCATCAAAGCACATTTTCTGTTCGATAATTGTCAGCACATGACTATTTTCAGTATCGTTTGGCAGACACACCTCTTTTAGTGTGTTATAGCTTCTCTTTACTAAACGTACTAGTTTAGAATCTTGTATCTTCGTTGCCGTTCAGTGTTTTAAACTTGACAATATCTTGCAAGATTGTATCATGCCGATACTACAAGCAGGTCCCCGTACATAGAGTCAAAGTACTCCCATGCTCTATCATAATTAGCGCCGATGCCCCAGCAACTAATTCAGTGAAGCGGTTTTCCATTTCATGTATCTTAATATGCAATTAATTGTTCAATCTCAGTAAATATTTATAACATTTATAGGGGTCGGTTATTTGCACAAAATCAGTCGGTATTTTTCAATGTATCATGTTAATTCATAAAAATGCACGTGTCCCTGATAATTAGTTAACTCATATCCCACCAAATAACATATCTTTGGAGGAGAATTCATACGTTCACACATACGTACATACATAAAAAAAGCAAACATATATACACCCTGTGTACATGCACCAGGGGCCGGTTGTATAAAACCGTCGTTGAATTTAACTATGATTATCGATAATCACTGTAGTTAAATTCTTAACTATGATTAGTTAACTACACGACTTAACTACGTTACAGAAACTGACGTAGTTTGACGGATCACCTAGTTAACTTGCATGGAGCTTGCGTGCGGTTGGTAAACAGAGAAATAACATGAAGAATCATGAAATTATTCACCGCTGTTATTGACTTTGAACAAGACTGTGGACTCGTATTTAAAAAATTGACAGTATTTTGATCTAATATATTGGAAAAAATGCAATAAAACAAGGAAAAAGTCAGTCGGCGCACTTAATATAAAAAGGTCACTTTGAGTCAATTGCAATTGAAAATGGAGATGGCTAATCTTTGCTATAGGATCGTAATTTGGCATCGACACATCTCCCGAAGCAAAAATATACTCCGTTGCTGCCCAAATGGCAAAAATAAAAGCATATTGAAGGTTTACAAGCTTCGACGAGGCCTATTCTGAGTTGATAACGGTTGACAACCTTCTTATGTGTTGAATTTAATATTTTCTCACTCCTCAAAAGCTCAATTGACGCCATTTTTACCTACGATTTGGAAAGTGAACGATGCCCTTGAGGATGATTAGCTTTCACTACGTTTTAACTACGATTAACGCGAACTACTTTTTTAGATGCACAACTGGCTTAACTATACGTGATTAAAGTTAACGACGTTTTAACTACAAAAAAGTGATTAAAAAGTAATTAAGAGTTTTATACAACCGGCCCCAGTAAATTATCCCCTTGTTAAGTCGGTTTTCCACGAGCGATATTTTTCGCGCTAATTGACAATTTACTTTTGTTCCAGAGCTCTCAACTGCAATCATCTGGAACAAATTGCTCAAATACAAAGGAATAAAGTCGCTTCGCGCGAAAAATATCGCTAGTGGAAAACCGGCTTTAGTATCCATCAAATGACGAATAGCGCACCCAAAAACGTTTTTAACAAATCGAGTCGAGTCGAGTCCAGTCGAGTCGAGTGGGCTAGGGCCGACATTAGCAATTACTTACGGTTGGACACAAACTTGTATCAGCCACGTAGAACACATTATACAGGGTCAGTAAAAAAATGACACTTTTGAAATTCAAATTAGCCGCAAACTTATAGCTGGAATTTGACAATGCCCATTGTGTACAATCAACAAGACGTGGTTAATTATGCGAAAGTGTTTAAACCATTGAACTAATTCAACGTTCTTTTTTATTATAGAGCTTAGAATAATTTTAACTCCCAAAGGGAGCAAACTTTATGGTCAAGGTTAATTAATGGATTCACTTATCCCCTTGCTGAAATGTGTGGACTTGGTACTTCTACTATACACTTAAGTCATTGTAATTGAAATTTGAGAAGCAATTGTGTACAACCTGTGGTACGGTGCTGTCTCTTCTCTTTTTCCTTCAACAGAAAACAGATGAAAGAAAAAATAATCGACATGGAAAGAATGTGGGAATTTCCAGTCTGTTGGGCTGCAGTTCATGGTTTCCACATACCTATAAAATTTTGCAGCTGTTGTGGTAAATACTGTTGTCGTGATGGTAAATTCTGCTGTTGTTGTGGAAAATTCTGGTGTTGTTGTGATAAACACTGTTGTTGAGGTGGTAAATTCTGCTGTTGTTGCTGCTGGTGTTCTTGTTGAAGAGTTCGTGATGAGTTTTGGGCATATGGTCCTTGAGACTGACCGCAGAGAAACTTCACTTTGCCTGGATTTCTCAGCATCTTCTTTCATGAATTGGAGAAGTTCCTTGGTTGGATCATTTTTCACCATCGCCTCCAAAACATTCACAACTTTTGTGACTTGCTCCGCCACGTCGTTCTTTCTTTTGCGTTTTTTGGATGGGACAAGCAGGTTTGCCCTAGGTCGATTTTTCTCCTGTATGTCATCCTCCCCAGAATCGCTTTCTTCTACATCACCCTATGGGGTGTTCTGGAAATATGAGGGTGTGGTTTTGCTGCTTGAGGCCGATGGCTCAACAGCTTGATCTGGCTGGCACGAATCCCTACTTTTAATCAATGGGAATAGAGCAACGAACCATTTTCCAAAACCTTTATCTTCTATGAATCGCTGTATGCCAGATTTTCTGGATAATCAGCGCCACTTTCTTGCATGTACCAATGCAAAACACCTTTTAAACTTGTTTCGGACCTGCTTCATGTTGAATTGAAATAAGGCCTGTCTCTCCGTTATCTTTTGCAAAACGAGCCGATAAACATCTGTGTTCTTGGCCGTCTTGATATTTGTAAATATCAGCTTTCGCTTAAACTGTTCGCTGTTGGTTGCAGCGGGTGGTTGAACATAAGGTTCCTTTGAGACATGTGATATTGTTTACTAGCAATATTGCCTGCTATTTTTTGACTGTATAAAACATTACAAAATGATTCTTTACTACATAAATATTTCTTTCTACTATAAGTTGACAAATGTTTTAAATATCCGAAAGAATTGATAAGAATATGTCGCATTGGCACAACTGGAAAAGAACATTGCTTGAAATTACCAGCTATCTTATTTAAAATTAATGGATGACCTAGGGCTAGGGGCTTTTCTTTCAAAATATTGAAAATAATGCTTTACAGCGAAGTGGATCTACTTTTTCTCTTTTTGATAGCCAATATAATTCTTTTTAAAGGAAACCTGAAAGGTGCACGGGGTCTCTAGATCGCTTGGTATTTGTAACAACAGCTACCCGTATTGTGATCTAAATTTATACAGCTAAAGGTTAGTTTCCACTCAGGAAAAATTTCCTTTGGATCGGAACGGACAGAAAAATTTCCTTTGTCGGTGAGTTCTCAGGCGGCGTTTATACAAAGGAAACTTTCCTGTCCTGTCTGATCCAAAGGAGAATTTTCTTGAGTGGAAACTAATCGTAACAGGCTAACACAGCGAGGGATTTTACTACATAACTTTGTTCGTGTTATGTTTTTTATTCTTTTTTTCCTGGTTTTCTTGCAACTTTGGGCGTCTTGGCAAAGTACGCAATCCGGGCGCAATTTCTGAGGGAAATCCTCATGCACGAATTGCAATTCAGCCTGCCAATCTGTACTAGCTATAGTGAATGGTTGACCGGTTCTTAGCACGTTTCATATTTACCAATATTAAACATAAATTGAATGACTGCAATGCTGCGATGTTACAAGTATTACAATCGCTTCAGTTTCAGTCGGGCGTTTTTTTTAAGTCTCGGGCGGTCTTTAGTAGGACCGAACACAGCTGCTATCTATACAATATAAATGTATAATGGTTCGCTAGTGAATTTCTTTAAATTTCGTTAATCGTCTCAGAAGAGATTGTTCTGATTTTTGACCTCCGAAGAGATTGTTTTGATCTTACCTCACGAGGATAAGTTTCCATGTTCAACAGGATTTTTTGAAGCCAAAATTTCAATAACGAGTCACTAGTATATGACTGTATGTTTATATTTTCTGCATGCTTTAGGTTGTGGTGTGAGCGCGTTATAAATTTATCGCTGATTGGCTAATTATATAAGCCGATCGCTGAATGGTTATGTGTTAACATACGGTACGTTTGCAATGACAATATATCCTACAAAAAAGAGTCAGCTATCTGCCCTTCAGCTATCTCCCCTGCAATGCCGGTGCAATGCTCTTGCCACTGAGCTACAGAAGTAGCTGACAAGAGCAAGCGTGGTTAATATGTATATATAATGGTAATGCCGGAAATAGGTGAGGGTAAATCAATTATGATATTTTGCAATTTACTCGATGTACGTAAATTCACCTACATCGACCGAAGTGCCAAAAATCATAATTGATTTGCCCTCACCTATTTAAGGCATTACCATCATATATACACAATAACCACACTTGCTCTTGTCAGCTACCTCTGACTTTGAACCAATTTTTATAATAATTACAATTTTGTATTGTTGTTCACTGTAGATATCTTTTTTGGATTGCGTATGGTGGAGGAATGGTAATGCGAAGACACTTGGCTACTAAAAAAGAAAAACAAATATATGTTTTCAGAACGCAATATGGCTATCTGGCTCTGCATTGCAACAGGAAGCGAATATATGCATACGACGGATTGGAAACAGTTAAAGTCCTAATTGAAATGGATTACGATGGCCTTAACAGCAATCACACAATTGACACAACTAATTTTGGTTCACCTGTTCTTAGAGAATGGATGTTAGTGGACGTTATTGGAGATTTTCTTTACTGGAAAGAAAGAATTTCACCCATTGTCTTAAAAATGAATGTCACCAGCAGAGATATATCTCGCTATATTCCGTTACCAAAAGGCTTCGACGTGAGAGATCTTCTGGTCGTAGACAAAGATCGACAACCGGAAGGTAAGTTCATACATTCTGGTAAATGTTCAGTGTAAGCTTGACTTCTTCAATTCGCTTTTGTAAGGAAACTACCCAACAGAAATTATAATTAATCTTCCGTCGAAAAAAATAATTTTCTTGCGCTCACACACGCAGAATTTTGCAGTTTCATATATAGCTTTTATTAAAATAAAACCCCTCAATTTATTTTGATTTTTGATTTTTGTTCAACAATTTAAATTTATTATAATAAATCTGAGTTATAGCTGCTTGTGTGAGGCAAAACATCTGACAATGCAACCTCGTACTCAGGGTTTTATTACCTGGTTGCGACGGGTCACTTGAACCCCTAGAAATTTGGTGTAATTCGAATTGGCGCCATTTGCCTCTTAGAGCCAGGTGATCTGATATGGCGGGAGAGGACTAGCACTAGTTGTCATATGAAAATCTATTTCTTCGTTAAAACAACTTTTAAAATATCTCATGAAATATACTTTATTTCGGTTTCAAATTTATATCAGAGCTATAGCTCTTATAATTAAACATGAACACAAAATTTCGAATGGTTCCATCAAGAATAACAAAAGATATAATCGATTAAATACTGCACAATGGATTTTTATTTTTACAAACGTTCTGAACGCTGATTGGTTGAAATATGAGCAAGAGATCACCTGGAAAGGAGATATAGGGGCTCGAAAAAGAAGGCGCTATTTTCACCACGCCTTCTGTTAACATTGTCGCTATTGCCGCCATTGCCGCCATTGCCGCATTCTGATTGGTCTAGCACCGCAAATGTCAACAAACGCGTTGATTGGTTATTGTTTTTGGTCCCTGTTGATTAGTCAAGAACGAAAAATGTAAACAAACGCACTGATTGGCTAACATTATTCACCCTTGTTTAGTGCGAAAAAAAACCTTCTTTGTGTCGCAGAATTTGTAAATGCGAATGAGGACAGGCTTAGGAGCTATTAGGAGTTCGAGAACCAGTGTCGCACATGTCGTCGTCGTCATTTAGCGTTTCAAAACTCTCTATTATATAGCACATGCCTGCGTGGTCTACTCCACTGCGCCGCATATTTTCTCAAATGTACCAGAGAAGCCATAGAATACGCACCGATTTTAAATTACAGGAAAATGCCAATGTGTTCAAGGCTACTGTTCCATCATAAATGGTTCACGAACTTGTCATTGTGAAAGTGGTTTCAATGTCAGTGGCCACGCTTGCACAGGTGGGTATATTGCGTCCGATAGCGTAGTATTTAGACAGGTAGTATGTATCATGTATCCGATTAATTGTACATTTTGTACCGATTAATTGTACATTTTGATGTATCATGCGAGTGTAAGGGGATCTAGATCACCTTTCTAAAGAAAAGAACTTGAAGTGGTAGACGATTTTGGACTAAATGTTAAGACTGCAGAGGTTTTTTAAAGTTTTTTAGATTTTAACTTTACGTGCGAAGTACTCCTTTTCTATAAAAATTAGGAAGAACAACAATCATTATGACTTTCGAAGAGTTTAAACAGTCCATTTGAAAATGCATGGTGATTAGAATAGTTAATTTTGATCTAGTTTTATTTAGAATTCTTTTAAGTATGTATATAGTTAATTTTATCATAAATTACATTAAAGTTTTATTATATGTATGTATCATTCCTTCAACCTAGTTTGGTGTTTATTAATCTATTTTCCTTTAACTATTTCATTTAGATAATGATGAATGTTTGTCATCTCCGTGTAATCTAGCCATTTTCATCTCGTGCAACAACACCCCAGGTTCTTACGAATGTATATGTAAGAAAGGTTTCTATTCCAATGGAACGGCGTGTCTTGGTACGTATTTTTCGTGCGTAATTAGTTATTCAATCTTCTTCCTCGTCATTATCTGAATTATCTGAATTACTTTAACAGGAATTCCCCATGTTAGGACTGCTTCATGAAGCATGATTTTAGTTTTAAATATCTAAAGGGGTTTTAAATATCTAAATTCTCTATTTCATTCATGTTCTATTGAGAATTTCTGGCTCTTGAAAGAACCTGATGGTGCGAATTTCGCGTTTTTGCAAACAACATCTGGGGCCAGTTGTATAAAAGACTAGTTAACTTTTACCTGTAGTTAAGGACAGAATTGGCCAATCAGAGTCGTGCATTTGTGAGTTATGTAGGATTTAACTATATAAAATGTTGTTTAAAGTATTTTATACAACCGGCCCCCGGTTCTCGAGCCGGTGAGGGGCATTGTGCGACGGTACTAATTCCCCCTGGAGATTAGGAATTACACGCGGAACCCGGGATACATACCGGAATCCAAAGTTGTCCTGTCGTGGACGGTCGATGTTCGACAGTTTTGTCAGTTATGCCTATGCGCGAATAACGGCTGGTAATCAACAACGTTGTAACAAATCGACATCTAAAGTCCAAAGATTCAAATCGAGATCCAAAGACTATGATTTATCATGCTTCTCCTGGCGCATGGCTTTATTGGAAGAAGGGATTTTGATGAGCTGCTTAAGATTATGATTGCTTCTAGGAAGGTATCCATTAAAAAACTTTCCAAGACCTTCGCTAGTGGATAGAAATGCAGCCCTGGCAGAGATCTATGATCCGCGATTGCGTTAATGGCGAGATCACTTGCAAGACGGTCACACGGAAGGTTAATATTGAACCAGATCAGACCCCAAGTTTGGAGCAGTTTTTAGTATGTCGCCTAATACCACTCGATAAGAACCAAGGCGTTCGTCCCATCTGAATTGATGAAGTGTTTCGTAGGGTCATTGAGAAGTCAATTATCTTTGCAATCAAGCCTCAAATCATGGAAAATGCAGGTGATGTTCAGCTTTGTGCCAGACAACCAGCTGGCTGTGAGGCGGCAGTTCATGCCATGTCAGACATCTTTGCAGCCGATAAAACGGCTGTGTTATTGATGGATGCTACAAACGAGTTCAACGGGAGAATGATGTTACGCAACATTCAATACATTTTTCCTGCCAAGGCAATTAACACCTTCAACTGTTATGTCACAGCGTTAGGATTGTTTGTCCAAGGTGGGAAAAAATTACTTCTGCTGAAGGTACCACACAGGGTGTTCCATTAGCCATGCCGCTGTATACTGTCGCTATTACACCCTTGCTGCAGTTCATTAAATGTGATGAAGCTAGTGATGTTCGACATGTTGCTTTCACTGATGACCTTCGTGGTGCTGGTAGACTTCCCCAATTGCGTTCCTCCTGGGAGGACATTGCTATTTATGGTCCTCGCCTTGGTCCGCGTGCTGCTGATAAATCCTGGTTGATTGTGAACTGGAACTGGTGTTCGTATAACAACTGAAGAAAATAAGTTCCTTGGCGGATATCTTGGCTCTGAAGATGGAAAAGATAAGTACATTTTGTCTTTAGTTAGTAAATTGTGTCAGCAACTCTACATTTTAAGTGGAATTGCTAAATTCGAGCCCCAAGCCGCATATGCTGCATTTGTATCAGGGTTTCGGCACAGACTAATTTACCATATACGCACTGTTGTAGGTATGAAGAACTCAAGGACCATCTGTCAAAATCTCTCAAGCAATATCATCCATCAGAATGATGACGTTCCAGAAAATGAAAATGGAGCATCCACCTACGATTTGCGCCGTGAGATAGTTAATCATCGACATGTCCAAAACAAGCTGGTGTTGCACATTGAATCGAGAGTTCTTTGACGCGATCTACATGCGTTAGCGGTGCAATTGAAGTGCTTTACATCCTTTCCCTGCGCTTGTGGAAATATATCACCGTTGAGCATTCCTTGTTGTGCCTGAAAGATGTTTTATGACGAAATCCCTGACTTTTTCACTTCTGCCATAGACGACGTGGCCTATTACGTTCCAACAGAACCTACTCTTGCTCCTTTGACTGGCGAAGTACTTACATTCAGAGCTAATTAAGCCGACGACACAAGAGTGGACATAGCTGCGAGATGGGAAAAGTATTTTTTATGTCAGGGTGTTTAGTCCTTACGCTTCGACACATCGACGCCAAACACTTACCAGCTCGTTTGACGCCAACGAAGGTGAGAAGAAACGCCAGCTAATCAAATAATTGTTGAACAGTGCCTATAGGCTACGGTGGATGTGGAAGGGAGACTTGTCACTTCCTTTCGCTCCTAGCAGGCAAACTGGCTGAGAAAAATAGTTTTAGTACTTCCATCGTTCCCAATTGCATGTTACGCGAGAAGAAAGCTTTTGCTCTTCTTGGAACTAGGGTTGTGTCTGTCCGTGGTATAGTCGTTCTTGGAGAACTGTAAACATTCCTTCAACTACTGATATCCTGTTGTCGGAGTTGAACTCTTACATTAGCTAAAGCAGTTGGCTGTAGTTTATATTTAAGTTTATATGCGTAAAAAAAATCAACAATGTTTTGATTGCCTTAGACAAAAGTTTGTATTTCAATGGGAACGTTAGCAATTTAACTGTCATTTAAATTTTTTCAAAAACGTTTCTGCTGTTTCATAATCTTTGGGCAAAATAAAACGAGAAGAAACAAGTTAAAGAATGACATATAACTAAGAAGAGCGTGGATACAGTTCAAGACAAAGCGGTGATAGTTCCCAGACAAGGGGATAGTTCTGCAGCTCAATGGTTAACAAAACAACCTGACACTACAGCTTAATTGTTTGATCAATCATTTAATTAATAATTCAATGTTAACTATATTAATACATATAAAAATCAATATAAACAGTCAACAGTGTAATATATTAAAGAAATTAACTTACTACATTGAGCCTTTCCTCGTTTAACACAAGTCGGCTTGGTCGTCGTTGGTGTTGTATTCATATTTATATCATTCGTGCCTCCAACGATGTCAATCGATGGTTTTTCAAGACTAGAAAGAGCTTTCTTGAATTTCAACAAATGACCCGGTTTCTTGGACAAGCTAACAGTATCAAACATTTGTTGTTTCTCTTCAGCATCCATGGTCTTGATCAACTCCACAGTGTCTTTAAAACGCTGCAGATTTTCCTCAGTAAATTTCAATGAAGACATAAAATTTTCGAACGTTAAATTCTCAGCTATCTCGAATACTCACTAGATTCTCTTTCAAAACAACAACGTGACATGTGAATGATGTGATTTACAGGAATTTGAGGGACAACTGGGGATTAGACATGATATTCATTATAATTCCGATGAATTCCGATGATGTAACATCGGGTCAATTTCCGCTTTGCACAAATCTGCATATTGATTTACATAACATTCGGCATATTAAACATTGTCTTTTAATATTGTGATTGAAAACGGACATATAAAATCAAACGAAAGTATAAGTTATTATTGCACACTTTACCTGGATTTATAACTTTTATTGTATATTTGAACATAATTAACAATTGGAATGTTTATGATATTAAAATAGAGTTTTTCTTTCTCGGTTCAGTATGTTTAATAATTATTTAATTATTCGATGATGCTCCTCAAAGATGCACATGAACAGATAATGCTTGATGTTTGCTTAAATCTCTTTTTGCCAAATTGCTGTTCTGAGCAACTGTTCTGGTTTCGACCCACCTTTTTTAAGTAACAAAAAGCAACTTTTAGGCTTATACATGATCCACACTGCCAATTTCGCACTAATTATTAAATAAGACCTCCACCATTACATGAATTATTTATTCACTACAATCTGTATCACCATTCCTGCCGTTTTTACTCACGCAAGTGTCCAAACGAAGACTAACATTGATATTTACTTAAGCCATGCATAATTTGATATTGCCCATGACAGACATGCTAACTACATTTTCGAAAGGACCAAGAGTTTATTTATGTTCGAAGCAGTGCAAGGCTGGAGAAATGCAGAAATTGACCTACGAGCAAAAAATTTGTGCGTTCACTCGGGAAACATGAAGTTTAGATTGCTATGGAATGTTTTTGCGGCTATTATTGGGGCTAGAAATAGGAAATGGGTTTGATAAAAATTTGCTTGGTTGGAATAAATCGAGTTCCAAACAAACACAAGGCAGAGTAGTACAAATTCGAAATCATCTTGGAATATTTCTGAGTGGTTCTGTGAGTTCAGATATGAAACGCTACCCTATCTGTAGAGATATCGCCAGTTGTTTCGTTTGACAAACATAAATGATTATGAGCTCTTCAGTGCTTAGGGCTTCAACGAGTTGTTGTTGTTCACGCCGTTTTATACATGGCAAATGCTAGTTCTCAAGTTGAAACTGAAAAGGAGCAAAAAGAATAATAGTATGGTGAACTCACTCTTTTGTTGCCTGATTTGATATTGAATGTCCAGAAAATACGTTTTTCATCTTTCAATTACCAGCCAGTGCCTCGAACTTGGGACTAGATTTCTTGTTATAAGTCCAGCTGTGTATAAATATGAACAAATCAGAAGCCGCTTCCTTGACAAAAAGTTGTCAAAATGTCCCTCATTTTACCTACGCTCTACCGCCCACGCTGCGGCAAAGATCCTGGTCAAGGCCTGCCATGTGATTCTTTCGTTAGGTTTATCCCATGTGGGGAGAGGTAGAACACAAGTAGCGCAATTGTCCTTTCCGGTTAAAACAACATGTTTCTGAAGAGTGAAGATTGAGCGCAAAATAGCCGGTTTTGACGCAATATAAAATAAAACAATAGAAAAAATGGAAAGAGAATCGAAACTTTTGATATTCCTGGCTTGTCTACATTTCGCTTTTAGAAATAGTGTATATTCTAATGTTATTTTAAAACCAAAGCAAGTAATTTGAATAGAAATGGAACAGGCGTCTTGTTAAAGTTAAATTTCACGAGAGTATCAGTTTGTGTTAAATGGACAGAAAGGTGTGTTATCCACCGTGCCGTTATAACTAAAATTTAATGATTAAATCACATCTACGAGGTGTAGCCCTGGGAGCCAGTAGAATAATAAATTATTGTACATATAGAATATGTAATCAAGCTACGAGATTATACGTATAGAATTTATAATCAAGCTACGAGGGAATAAAGGGTGATCATCAGTGAACACTGAGGCAGAACGAAGCAGAACTTATGTTGAAGTAGAATCGATTAAGGAGTGGTCTACACGCTGAAATATACTCGATAAACTAAAGCGTACGAATTTTATTACGTGAAGCGTCGCACTTTACATTACATGGATCTTCAATGATCAAATGGTAGATCTTCAATGATCAAATGCTCTGTTATAGTCTTCAGTGACTTGAGCAAGACATTACGTTGTAAACGTGTAAGCGAAGTTATTCCGGAGAGCTCTGACATCGGGATTATCGCAGCTATAGTTGCAGAAACCACAGGAAAGGAACAATTCGCCGAAGAAAGCAAGTATACCGTAGCTTGAGAAACTTTAATAGCAATTATACTTTAATAGTTTTAGTCTTAGTTCTTTGTAAGAAAATACAAAAATATATATACTGAAATTCTGTCTATGAAGATATATTTGCCGACACCCACACAGACGGATTAAAATTCGTCACACGAGGATTTAAAACAGCTAGCTTTCACACCGCTGCATGTGATCTGGAAAAATGATTATCTGGAAAAATATATCAGTGGGCTTAGCCTTAGCCCTCGTTAATTGCCTAAAAGGTTAATATTTGATCGAATCCCCGGCTAAAGGTCTATAAATTTTATAATAATTGCAACAGAAGTTCCGTTATTGTCGGGGTAATCGTTATTTAGTAGAGGTGTCGTGGCGTTATTTTAGTCGGGGTCTCAGTAGTGACATCGTTAACAGATGCCCTACTTTTATGCTAGTTGAAAAGTCAAATTTATATCTGGCTGCAGTTTCCAAATCTACCAAAGTCAGTCACCATCCTCCAAGAAAGTCAAGAAACAAAACCGCGATCACCAGAGTCTGTGACTAGCTTGCCGCGTCGAAGACGCCGTACGTTAAAAGCTCACATGGAACTTTAGTCTTTAAATATTTAATTTACTCATCAGCTGGAGTCGTCGTCGTTATTGATGGCGCAGATCTTAAAGCATGTTTTCCATTACATTCGTTTTTTACATTCTGCTCATGCGCGCGCGGCCGTGGCGGAGCTTGAAAATGTTGAAATAAACCGCGCTTTAACACATTTTTTTATACTTTCGTTCGAACAGTTCTTTCTCTCTTTCCTTTCCAGTCTTTAATTTAGTTACTTCACAGAATTAGTTTCTTTTCAGAAATTCCCATTTTAATAATTATAAAGGCGTTCTGCAGCAAAGTAATGTTTGTGCAATTAAAAAGTCAGTCTGCGAAACAGCGGCGGCTCGTGACTCCTGAGCACAAATATTTCCTGTCAAATATTAGTTTCTTCAACAAAAATGTCGAACCTAATTAAAAAGTAACCTATCATGAAAAGAAGCTGTGCTTCTTGATAATGAGACATGACAATTAAGGAGTTTTTAGAAATATTGAATGTGTAACGTTTCACATATAATATTTACGTTGCATGCTTGGCCTTTTATACTACGTTAGTACTGACCCTATTTCATTGAAACAAAGTATTGATATGATTTTTCATCGTATTGCATAGATATTGATGAATGTAATTCATACCCGCAGTGTAACTGTCTAAGTTCAAGAAAAGAAAAGTGTATTAACACACCAGGTTCTTGCAAATGTGGATGTGTAAAGGGGTTCCATTCAGATGCTGGTGAATGTGTCGGTTAGTAATATTTATATTTTTATCATTCCTGAAAATATTTAATTTATGATCCCATCGACATTCCTGTTTGCGGTTAAAGTTCCTATATCACTTATGGGATCTTTACGGATTCGAATAGAGCTTGGAAAATTAGTTTATAAGTTCTACAATCATTTTTAATATAATTAAATAGTTTCGAAAATATTTACATCTAAACATGACGATTTGCCTAAATTTCCGTCGTGCTCGAGGCCTGGGACTCAGGAACCGAGTTCTTGTCAAACATAATATAATCAATTGTAATTTTACTTCGATCTTCCAATAACGTAAAACATTTTGAGAAAAACTCGCCCGGTTGCTACAGCTATACACAACGCACCGTTCCTGCATTTTTTTCTTGAAAAGCGCAAACTATATCGCTAGTGAAACTCTTCATGTTTACATTATAAAAGACGGCGTGTTTGCAAATCATTCCTGAGTCCCAGTCCCCCTAACCGACGTATTTTCGAAACTATTTAATTATATCAAAAAAGGTTGTAGAACTTATAAACAAATTTTTCAAGCCCTATTCAAATCCGTAAAGATCCCACAAGTGATATAGGCACTTTAATTGGAAATGAATCTTAATTGTCTTAGCTTGGGGTTTCTAAATATGACATTGTGATCTATCAGTTTGAAAATTAGAGCACTGACACAACTTGCTCTATTTCATGATTTAGGCTTTCGGAAAATGTTTAAAAAATGTTTTCCAAAATTTTCAAAATTGCCATGCCAATTAAAGAATGACGTCCAAAGTGTCGTTACTATATAAGCTCAACTGTCAAATTTAAAAAAATGCGCATGCTGTAGGCAAATGTAAGCTCTTATGTCAATCAATTGTGTTTTATATCCTGCGCGGTCGAGCATTTTAAGCATTAACGTCACAAAAAGTTTAATTCGATAAAAGCAAGAATGAAAAGTTTAAGTTGAAAGATATTGTTCACGAAAAGTACTATTTGAAAATTTTGCTAGTTGTTGATGATAAATATTTTCAGTTGAGAACATTTTTAATTATTGATCGATAAAGCAAAAGACAAACTCGAAAAGTGCGTCAAGGCCTTGAATAAACAAGATATGAGAACTGGAGCGAGCTTCTAACGCCAACCTACATCTCTAACCTACAACGCTCTTTGGCTGGGTAAAGTTCGGCGCATGTACACGCAAGGGCGTGCACAACTCCAGAAACTTCAGTGTTTCAGTGGACAAACGGAATAAAAGACATATGAAAGGTTGAAGAAGCACAACAATACAGAACAGACGAAGAAGACAGAACAGACGAAGACTCGAAGAGAGAAAGCCGATCCGAAAGCAAACATTTAAGAACTGTAGTCTAATATTGCAAATATCCCGTGCGATAGCATAATATTTAGGCAGGCAGATTTTTTATCATTCATTCAATCAAGTTTGGTGTTTATTAATATATTTTCCTTTAACCATTTCATTTAGATAATGATGAATGTTTGTCATCCCCGTGCAATCCAGCCTTCTTAATCTCGTGCAAAAACACCCCAGGTTCTTACAAATGTGTATGTAAGAAAGATTTCTCTTCCAATGGAACGATGTGTCTGGGTACGTATTTTCCGTGCGTGATTAGTTATTCAATCTTCTTCCTTGTCAACATTTCTTGTTATCCTCGTGTCCTTATTTTTCTATCCAGTTACGAATGTCACAGTAAAAATTATCTGAATTACTTTAACAGGAATTTCAAATGTTAGGACTGCTGAATGAAGTATAATTTTAGTGGGGATATAACTCGCGTGAGGAGTGATCCCCTGTTAGCAAGTGTTTGCACACACTTCGTCTTAACCGTCTCTAGTATAAATCAGGCTATTTATATACCGGATTTTGTGTATCTCTTCTCTAATAACATATGAATTGGATTGTCCCACGGGAAACGGAAAGCAACCATGAAACGTTTCGTTTTATGTGTTAATTGTTGCGTTTATCTTTAAACCATATACTTCTAGATCTTGTCTATTGTTAATTATATGGTTGACATGCGTGTCTTTTTGTTTAAGGGTCGAACTATTAATCAAATATGTCATGTTTTGAACTTAATGTTTTAACAGGAGTTTTAAATATCTAAATTCAATGTTTCATTCATGTTCCATTGAGAATTCTGGGGCTTGGAAGAACCTGATGGTGCGTATTACGCGTTTTTGCAAAAAGATATCTGTTCCCGAGCCGGCGTACTATTGCTAGGGTACTAATTCCCCCGGAGATTTGGAATTACACCCGGAACCCGGGAGTACATAGCGCAATCCAATGTTGCCATATTATGGATGGTCGACGTTCGACTGTTTTGTCAGTTATGCGCATGCGCGAGTAAAGCCTGGTAATCAACAACATTATTTCTATCAAATCGAGATGCAAAAACCATGATCCATATCCAAAGATTCAAATCGTGATCCAAAGACCATGACGTATCACGGCGTGGTCGCGGCGCATTGCTTTATGGGAGCAAGGGAATTTGGATGAGCTGCTTAAGAAATATAGCACGAACAAATCAACGCTGATTCCTACTAGGAAGGTCTCCATTGAACAACTTTCCAAGACTTTTGCTAGTCTAATGCTCCGTGGTAAAGTGAATGCACCCGTGCATTTGTTGGATGGCAATCTTCTAGGTGAGTACTACCTCTTAATAACGTTGTGTATAAGGACCTTCTGCAGAAACATCCAGCGGCACGACCCGATGATTATTATACTCCACAAGTTTGGAGCCGTTTTTAGCATGTCGCCTATTACCATTGGATAAGAAGCCAGGTGTTCGTCCCATCGGAATTGGTGAAGTGTTTCGTAGGATAATCGGAAAGTCTATTATCTTTCCAATCCAGGCTCAAATAATGCAAAATGCAGATGATGTTCAGCTTTGTGCCAGAAAACCAGCTAGCTGTGAGGCGGCAGTTCATGCTATTTTGGTAATCTTTACAGAAGATGAAACAGATGCAGCGTTATTGGTGGATGCTACAAACGCGTTCAAATCAATTAGCCAGAGAATCATGTTACCCAACATTCAGTACATTTGTCTTGCCATAGCAATTTACACCTTCAACTATTATGTCACAGCGTCAAGATTGTTTGTCCAAGGTGGGAAAGAAATTACTTCAGCTGAAGTAATCAAACAGGCGCATTAGCCATGCCGCTGTATGCTGTTTCCATTACACCCTTGCTGCAGTTGATTAAATCTGATAAAGCTAGTGATGTTCGACATAATGCTTTCGCTAATGATCTTAGTGGTGCTGGTAGACTTGTCCAATTGTGTTCCTGGTAGAAGAACATTGCTATTTATAATCCTCGCCTTGGTTACTATCCGCGTGCTGATAAATCCTGGTTGATCGTGAAGCCGCACATGGAGCAGACTGCCATAGAGATCTTCGCTGGAACTGGTGTTGGTATAACAACTGAAGAACATAAGTACCTTGGAGAATATTTTAGCTCTAAAGATGGAAAAGATAAGTACATTTTGTTTTTAGTTAACAAATGGTGTCAGCAACTCCACGTTTTAAGTGAAAATGCAAAATTCGAGCCCCAAGCCGCATATGCTGCATTTGTATCAGGGTTTCATAGCAGATTTACTTACCATATGCGCACTATTCCAGGTATCAAGAACTCAAGAATCATCTGTCAAAATCCCTCAACCAAGATCATCCATCAGAATTCGAAAAAATAATTTCGCCGAGTTGAAGGTATCCTCAGCTTGGTTGACACACTTCCACTTGCTAATGAAGGGTATGTCCTCAAGAAAGGGGAGTTCTTTGACGCAGTCTACATATGCGCTATCTGTCGTTCCTTGTCGTGCCTGAAAGGAGGTTTTAATTATCCATCGACGATGTGACGAAATCCCTGACTTTCTCGCTTCTGCTATAGACGACGTGGCCTATGACATTTCTACTAAACCTGCTCTTGCTCCTTTAACTGGCGAAGTACTTCCATCCAGTGCTAATTCAGCTGACGGCGCCAGAGTGGATATGGCCGCGCGAGTTACTGGCAGAGATGTCAAAAAGGATTTTTTAATGTCAGGGTGTTTAATCCTTACGCTTCAACTCATCGACGCCAGACTCTTACCAGCTCGTTTAACGCCAACCAACGTGAGAAGAAACGTCAGTATAATCAAAGAGTTGTTGAAGTTAAACATGACTCATTCACCCCAGTCGTTTTTAGTGCCTGTGTGCTATGGTTGATGTGGAAGCAAAACGTCTCACTTGGCTGAGAAACATGCAGAACTTTAGTACCTCCATCGTTCTCAGCTAGTTACGTGAGAAATAGCTTTTTCTCTTCTTCGATCAAGGGTTGTGTGTGTCCGTGGTATAGTAGTGCTTGGAGAACTGTAAACATTCCTTCAACTACGGATATCCCGTTGTCGGAAATGAACTCTAATACTAGTTAAAGTAGTTGGTTGTAATTTACATATCAGTTTATATCGGCGCAAGAAATTAACAACGTTTAAATTGACGTCTAAGACAAAAGTTTGTATTTCAATGAGAACGTCAGCAATTTAACTGTCATTTGGTAAACTCTTTTGCAAAAGCTTTTCTGCTGTTTCATAAAGTTTGGGCAAAGTAAAACGAGAAGAAACAAGATGAAGAGTGACAGATAACTAAGAAGAGCTTGGATACAATACAGTGCAAGACAAAGCGGTGTAAGAGAAATAATTCATAATTTGCAAGCTTAAAATTCAATGGTTAAATAATTTGTCCCGTAGTTTGCATCTCGTTTTGATTTTACCATTAAATAAATATAGGCCTCTACAGATTGTGCTCGCCAACTTTTGAACAACTTTTTAAAATTTGAACAGCTGTTCTGGTTTCGTGCTACCTGGTGCAACTTTTGCTTTTTTCAGTAACAAAAAGCAACTTTTAGGCTTATACATGATCCACACTGCCAATTTCGCACTAATTATGAAACAAAATCTCCACTATTAAAGTAATTATTTATTCTCTATCACAATCTGAATCACCATTCCTGCCGTTTTTATTCACGCAAGTGTCCAAACAAAAACTAAAAATAATATTTACTTAAGCCATGAATAATTTGATATTGCCCATGACAGAAACGCTAAATACATTTTCGAAAGGAATAAGGGTTATATGTTTGAAGCAGAGTGAGGCTGGAGAAATGCTGACATTGACTTATGAGCAGAAAATTTGTACGTTATACTCGGGAAACATCAAGTTTAGATTGCTGTGAAATGTTTTTTCAAAGGAAAAAAGTACGAATTCGAAATCATCTTGGATTATTTCTGAGTGGTTCTTTGAGTTCATATATGAAACGCTACCCTATCTGTAGAGATATCGCCGGTTGCTTGGTTTGACAAACATAAATGATTATGAGCTCTTCAGTGCTTAGGGCTTCAACGAGTTGTTGTTCGCGCCGTTTTATACATAGCAAATATTCTACTGGTTCCTAGGTTGAAACTAAAAAGGAGCAAAAAAAATAATAGTATGGTTAACTTACTCTGCTGTTGCCTGATTTGATATTGAATGTCCAGAAAATACTTTTTTCCACTTTCAATTACCAGCCAGTGCCTCGATCTTGGGACTAGATTTCTTGTTATAAGACAGAGCAGCATCCCCGACAATGTGTCAATATTTCCCTCATTTTATATTACTTCGGAACTCGAAAATTGCAAGTAATTTTATACTTTTTGTGCGGAAATACGTTTCTATTTCCCCCAAAATTATTTGGCCTTTATACTATAACTAGGAAGAACTGGGAGAAATGTTGCCTTTTGTTGAGGCGCCTTATTAAGTCTGTAAATCTTTGTTTCACTTCACCTGGCTGGCATGAGTGAATTTTCAATAAAAGGGAAGTAATATAAGGAAGTAATAAATGGAATAAAATTATCTACAAAAGGGAAGGTGATAGAAACATTAAAAATATTCAGAGGATTTTTTTAATAAAGTTTTTATGTCTTCTTCCAGCACGAGAAACACTGCGGGATGTAGGTTAAAGATACCAATTGCAGGAATTGGTAGGGTCGGTAGTTAGATGATTGTAGAATGGGTTGAATCTTTTCCCTCTTAATCAAGAAAATACCAGCTAAATTATTAATTGTAGTAAGCAGTGTGTATGATTCATGAAGACGCCAATTCTTTAAAGGAAATCGACATGTGGAGACTAGATTCCTGTTAAAATTCGAGGAATACTGTCAATGTAGAAATTTCACCAGGGATGAGATATAATTCTCTCTATTAAAGTTGTGTGAAAATATTTAGCCCGTACACTAGCTAACATGGAGTAGCCAATGTAATTTCACGGGAGTTTCATCTTGTGTTAAATGACCAGTAAGGCTGTGCAATCGCACCGTGCCATTATAACTAAAATTAATGTTTAAATCACATCCACGAGGATTTAAAACTGCTACCTTGAAACAGCTGCATGTGATCTCAGTTGGTTTTCAGCGAACATCTGAACTTTTACCATGCATTTATGAATCTGGAACTTCGATGGAAATTGTCTGGAAAATATATATATATATATATATATATATTATATATATATATATATATATATATATATATATGTATATATATAATATATATAATATATATATATATTATATATATTATATATATATATATATATATATATGTGGAGCTTTGCCCTCAGGAATTATATATATATACATATATATATATATATATATATATATATATATATATATATACACCCATTTGCAAAAACGTTGGCCGCAGATAGATAGATAGATTGATACTTGAAGTCTAATTAGAATTGCATATGATTACATTTGCATGGGATTTCAATCATATTACACAACATATGCAATTCTAATTAGATTTCGAGTATCTATCTATATATCTATCTGCGGCCAACGTTTTTGCAAATGGGTGTATATATATATAAATATATATATATATATATATATATATATATATATATATATATATATATATATATATATATATATGTGGAGCTTTGCCCTCAGGAATTACCTAAAATGGTAATATTGTATTGAATCCTTCA